ACTTACAGCAGTTCCTACTTAGCTCTTAGTTATTTATTTATAAGTTTATTTAAATAACTCCTTATACTCAATTTACTAATCTGTATCCAAATAACTTTTTGAGGTTGCATTTTCTATTATATATTAAATGGCTCTATATGTCTTTATTAACAGCTGTACTTTCATATTAAAAAAGCCTCACTAAAAGGATGAATTACTATGAATTTCTTAGCAACAACTCAGACCAAAAGATGTACTACATTCACCATGTGTGTGTGTGTGTGTGTGTATGTGTATGTGTATAAATATACACACAATTTTTGATACAATATGAGCAATATCACACGAGTAGCAGTTCGATATGGCTGTATATCAGCACTGGTGGGAGGCCTGCGTGTGACCATTTTCAATAGCCACACTTTTTTTGTTGGGAAATATATTTTATACGCATAAATTTGACTTTGACAAGCTAAGATGACTTGATTTAGATGTTGTGTTATGTCCGCAACATGCCTCCTCATTCATTTAACTTCTTCTGTGTATTGTGTATTAGCTTGCTCAGTGTGCATGAGCAAATGGGTTGTCGCAATGCAATTCGTTTTTATTTCACATGACTTTTTATGGCTCAAAATTAAGGATTTACCAAATTTATCTCTGACCAAACCAATTAAGTATTTCTTAGCCACAATGTTTTAATGTGTCAAGACAAGGAAAATATAGCTGTATTGGTGCACTTTTTAAATTCAACAAAACTTTTCTTTAAAAAAACATTACATTTAAAAAAAGAAGTATTGTGCACTGTTGCCTCACAGTGAGAAAGTTTGAGTCCCAATTGGACCAGTTTTATGTTTTCTCTGTGGAGCTTGTATGTTCTCCCCGTGTTTATCTGGGTTTCCTCTGAGTGCTCCGATTTTCCCCACAGACCAAAGGCATGCGCTATAAGTGAATTTGAACTAAATTGGCCATAGTATATGTGTGTGAACGCATGTGTGAATGTGAGAGTATGTTTGAGTGTTTCCTAGTACCGGGTTGCAGTTGGAAGGGCATCCGCTGCATAAAACATGCTGGAATAGTTGGTGGTTCATTCCGCTGTGGCGACCCCTGATAAATAATGGACTAAGCTGAAGGAAAATAAATGAATAAATGAATGAAATTTCACAGAGGCAAAAATTAGCAGTGACTCTGGAGCCGGTGTTACCGCGCAAAAGGCACCTTCTAAAACGAATGTCAGACAGATTTCTGAGAAAGCAAAACAATTTAATCACGTACAATTAAATCGAGAGAGTTTGGCGATAACCAAGTGGATATTTACTTACTACTAGAGTGACTTCTTGATAGACATGCATTAAAAACATACATTTACACATACATTGCCCCATGTTTATTTTATTTATTTTCTTGCTCACCTGTCAGAAATGCAATGCACAGGATTGTGCTACATTAAAGACAGTGAAGGACACATCTATGCTGCCTTAAAATTCAATCAGAAAAAGGTATCAACACGAGGTGAAGCAGAATTTGTATTGTTCCTTGATGCCATCCTACCTATGAATGCTTCCTCCAAAGGCAGCATTGTAGAGCTTTTGAACACAGTCTCTGTGAGTGAGTGATAAAGGACTGTGTGTTTGCTCTAATCTTCCCTGCGGACCCCCTAGGGAGCCGTAGAGCCATGAATGACATGACGGCCCATGGTGTGATTATACTGCACTGCGCTGGACTGGACTGGACTGGGTGGAGAGAATAGAATCCATCAGTGCTGTCAGCGCCGCAGTCCAAAACACAACACCCAACATATCTGACCAGCCCATGCAGAAAGCTCTTATGGCCGTTTCTTCAGTCATCAGCCTGTGTTCGGCTTATCCAACATGCTTTTACTCTCACTCCCATAAATACTCAACGACACTCACACACACGCTCCCTTGCCAATTTCAGTGAGAATATGCCACTCTTCACCTCACCTCAACAAAAGTGCGATTTTTCCCTCTCTCTAGATCCCACAATTGACCCAGATTTCACTCTCTGGTGTTCCAGCGCCCACACGTAATCTCTTTTGTTTTATGCTTCAGTATTGTTTATTTTCACACTCAAAGCCTTCAAGCTTTCTTCAGACAAAATAACACAAGAGCGTGTGCGCTTTGAGGCAGCACACATTATATTCCAGACACAGTCATGCCACCTACTGCTTTTCTAATCAGCTGCCGGCGCTGACCGCCAGATCCTGACTGATGCCCCCTCTGAAGCGCCGTCTCCATCCTTTCTCTCAGCCCCCTGCCGCTCCACAACCACCTGATTTCATATTCACTTTTTATCTAAAGTGTCGTTAATTGGATTAATTGTAGAATGAAACCCGTGTTATTAATAGAGGAGGAAAATACAGGGTTTGGGCGGGGATTAATATCTCGCTCTACACACACACACACACACACACAATATTAGCAGCACACAGACACAAATGTGGCGCAGTGCCTAGTAAAATGAAAATGTATGTGGCAGCATTGATAAGAGCAAAGGATCCTTATCTGAGAAAGAGATAAATGCTCAATCTTTTGTGCTGTCTTCAGAAATTGGGGAGATTTTTATTTTCAGTTTATGATAGAAGGTTAAAAAAGTGAATAAAAAAACTGATTAAAGAAAGAAAGGATGAAGAGTCAGGTGAACAGGAGGATTCATAGTGAATCATATGGATATATTTTTGTTTGTGTCACAAATAAAGAGGCCGTTAATGCTTAGCTCATTTCAAAAATGGAGCCTGCATTCATTTATTTATGGATATTACTTGGAGCCAATTAGTCTGGAGCAATGACATATCTGATAGTAAATATCTGATATTGAGTTCTGGATGTTGTCACTATTGAAGACACGTGTCCTGTTATCTTTCATGTGGATAAGGCAGGATGATGTCCAGGGATGTCAGCTGATAGTCACTGAAATGTGTCTCACATACTGATGAATCAGTGTAATATGGTGGTTGGAGATGTGTCTTAATATGTGAAATATTCTGAAATGCTACATAAATGGTCAAAATTAGTGATTAGAACCAAGCTGCTGTGCTGAAGGTTATTTTTATATTACATGACCTCCCTAAATTAATTGTAGTTGAGGAAAAAAAAGTAATAAATTTGATAAAGTTGTTTACAATTGATATCATGATGTATGGGCGTCACGGTGGTGCAGTGTGTAGCACAATTGCCTCACAGCAGTAAGGTTGCTGGTTCAAGCCCCTATTGGGCTAGCTGGCATTTCTGTGTGTAGTTTGCATGTTTCAAAAACATGTGCTAAAGGTGAATTGAATTAGCTAAATTGATTGTGGTGTATGTGTGTGAATGCAGTAGTGTATGGGTGTTTCCCAGTGTTGGGTTGTGACTGGAAGGGCATCCGCTGCATAAAACATATGCTGGAGAAGTTGGTAGTTCATTCCGCTGGGCGACCCAAGATTAATAAAGGGACTAAGCCGAAAAGAAAATAAAGGAATGTATCACGATGTGTGAGAATGAGAAAACAAAGAGATATTTATACAACTATTGTTTAAACTTAGTGTAAAACAGCGTATTTCTTAAAGAACAGAATGTTCCTGAAACAAATGGAATCAATAGATGATGGATATTCTATTCCAAGTATGCCCAGGTATATGTTAATAACAAAAACACATTTTTGTTTTAAATTTTACACACACACACACACACACACACACACACACACACACACACACACACACACACACACACACACACACACACAAACTTTATATGTATTACCTGACAAAAGTCTTGTCGTCAATCCCAGTTGTAAGACCACTTCAGATTTTTCCGATGAATCATCTGCTGAACTGCATCCCAATCATCACAAATATTGCAGAAGACCAATTGGAACCTGCATGGACCCAAGATTCTCACAGAAATCAGTCAAGTTTGGTAAAGGAAAAATCATGGTTTGGGGGTACCTTCGGTATGTGGGTGTGTGAGTGATCTGCAGAGTGGATGGCATCTTCAGCAGCCTGAGGTATCAAGATATTTTTGCTGCCCATTACATTTTAAACCACAAGAGAGGGCAAATTCTTCAGCAGGATAGCACTCCTTCTCATACTTTAGCCTCCTCATCAAAGTTCCTGAAAGCAAATAAGGTCAAGGTGCTCCAGGATTGGCCAGGCCAGTCACCAGACATGAACATTATTGAGCATGTCTGGGGTAAGATAAAGGAGGAGGCATTGAAGATGAATCTAAAGACTCTTGATGAACTCTGGGAGACCTGCAAGAACACTTTCTTTGCCATTCCAGATGACTTTATTCATGTTATTTGAGTCATTGCAGAGATGTATTTGTATGTATATATTATTTTTGTTAAGTGACAAGACTTTTGTCTAAGCAAAGTCAGACCTTACTGTCCTAACTAAATAAATATCAAGGCATGATCATATTTTATTTTGGTAAAATAAGAGTAATCTAGAGGCCTTTGCCTTTCATATAAGCTACTTCTGATACCACATGATCAACTACAAGTCAAGTTATTATTTGTTGTTCTTAAAACTTGGATTGGCGAAAAGACTTTTGTTTGCATTTTTCATCCTTAAAAAAATAAATAAAAAGTATCATAAATCATAATGTAGTTCATTCAGGCTATACCTTTATATTTTTAACACCAACACGACATATATATTTTGCAGATTATGCGCACGACACATCCTAGCAAAAGAAGATAATCGCAAACTGCAAATCAGAAATATGCATTTAAACGATTTGACTCTAAAAGCAACACACACATCACGAAAAGCCAAACACTTGTTGTCACAGACATGTTGTCATAGCGTTTCACGATAAATCATACCGGTGACTCCAAGCGTTCTGGAATATGCATGCTATTGGCTAAAATCGCTGTCCATCATCTCAGGCTCTCATTCGTATGGTTAAAGCACTGATCCCGCCTCTTCAAGCCATGCGCTAATTGGCCACCGTACGCGTCCGCGTCGCGCACTCAGCCAATGCGCGTGCGGCTGGTCGGGCGCGCTCAGAGGTTCCTCCGCGAACGCGCACTGGTGGCAGTCCGGAGCGGCAGCAAGAGCTCAGTACAACGAGGAGAACTCGACGAGTCCACACCGCGCGACTCCAGCGAAAGGAGAAAAGAGCACGCCAGACAGAGACTGCACATTCAGATCAGCCCCTACATCTGGACAGAGTCGCCGCAGCCTGGAGGGGGAACGAGGGATTTGAGCAGCACCGTTATTTTTTCTTTTGTGTTTTCTTTTTTTTCTTTTCTGGGGGAAGGATTGTGAGCGTTTGTCTGCAAAGATGATGGTCGGGGAGATGGAGGTGAAGGAGAGACCGAGGCCGAGTCCCGACTATCTGATGCAGCTACTGAACGAAAAGAAGCTCATGACGAGTTTACCGAACCTGTGCGGCATCTTCACACACCTGGAGAGACTCTTGGACGAAGGTATGTGTGTGTAAATCTGAGCTGTGAGTGTTCGTGTGGCGTTTTACAACTTCACAAACTATTGGTCTACTGCGAAAGAGACTCAAAATGATAGTTGGGATTTATGTTTTATTGTTAAATTTGGTTATTTGGTTGTGTTTAAGCAGCTTTCAACAGCTTTCCCCCCCTTTTATAATTAGAAAATTCGCTTTTTACCAAGTCAGTAACGTTACGCATGTGCGGGTCGCTAGCACTGTTAGCACTCTGCTAAATCAACAACTTTTTAACGGCGTCATTTTTGTTAACTTTCACTTCTTTACCATCAAATGTACAACTTTTACGGTTTTTGTCTTATTCTATGCGTTTATTACATGTTGTAAATAGCTAATAACCAGGCGCTTGAGCGTTTACTAACTTATATCAGGGTGTGAGTGAAGTTAGCCGAAGTTAGGTTAACGTTAGTAACATTAAGTTAGTTGCAGATAAGAAACTCACGGTTGTTTGTCACTTTTAGAATAGCTTTATAGTATGTTTAATTCCTCCTGTGGTTACAGTATTAGTAGCTCTACATAACACAGTGGATTTAATCACAACAATTAACTGTTTGTTTGCAGATTAAGATTTCCCCCGAGGCATTCAGTAGAGTTATGCGTGAATGCGCCCTATGCAAAGAGCGAGACATGCGGTACAGCATTATCGCGTCGAGCATGAAACAGTGTTTTATTGTAAACATATATTTATAATGCAATCTGGAAGTGTGAAAGACAGTCTGTGGTTGTTATATGCAGCAGGTTTCTCCCATTGCAGCTCGTATCTGCACCGTCACTGCTTCTCTCCACACACGTTGTGCGTTTATTTACACCCGCTGTTGTGTCTGAAATGCATGTAGTTTACAATCAGGGTTTAATCTCCTCATGTTTCGCTTAGGAAATGTTTGAATTATTACGCACACATTAAGACATTGCGCGTTTGTATTCGCCGCAAGAATTGCTGAAATGCTCGTGATGTGGACATGCAGACACGCGGTTCTGTTTGTCCTGTAACAAAGAAGGAAGAGCAGCCGCAAAATCTGCTGCAATGTTGTCCATAATCTGCTTCGTTTGCGCTCTTGGCGTTTTACAAAATCACACTGTGCGTTACTGGATAAACTAGTTTGGTTTGACTGATCACAATTCCACATTCCGATACACAAACGCAAAGCAAACCACGCGTAAGCTTGATTAGATCAGTTTTGATGAGAAGCTCAACTCACTGTATTCGCCAATGGCAAATTTATGAAGGATAATGTAATCAAATAGGATTTTTTGTATGTTTACTAACTAGTAATGTAATAACAAACGCCATTCACATTAATGCTTGTTCCAAAATGAAAATGATTTACTCAAGGGTGTACTTTGTAGTTTGTTGATGACCAAACAGTTTAGATATGGGTTAAATAAACTCCCCGTGAGTAATCCCTTTATAACTCCTGTAATAAACTAGTATTTCAACATGCAGACCGTCATGAGTTTGCTTGCATATCTATAGTAGTTTTTTCCTCTCCCTCTTTCTAGGGGTCTGTTTTCATATTACAATACACTTCTATCAATCTGCCCACAAGTAAATAAATCTGAACACAATGTGTAAACAGTTTGAGTTTGTCCACTCTGCCGCTTTCAGAGGTAGCTGAAAGTGCATTCGATCTGATTGCTTTTGCAGTGTTTAAGATTTCAAACAGCTGCAAAAGACCACTTAATCTCTGCCTACTCACTTTATTCTTAATAATTACAGCACAGGTTGTTGAACTGCACTTACCAGACAGGGTGTAAAGTTGTAAGTCTGGTTTAAAAAAGAAAAAAAGGAACATTTTTTTATTTTGTTTTGTTCAATTGCTGCTTATATCAGACCCGCAGCCGCCTGCATAGTTTTGCAGCTATCAGAGCAGAAGCCAAACAAAATGCTCATACTTTTTGTATTATTTTCTATTGTCTTTAGCATTCAGAAGTAAATAGCTCAAACATATCTTACAGCATTAGATCAAAACTTCGGAATGGACAAAATCAAAATTGACGAGAAATTCAGGTGTAAATGTCACAGATGTGTTTCTTTAAGAAGTCTTCTGCTTTGTCCCATAGTGTCTCCATGTGAGTTTTCTCATGAAGCTGTGTGCTCTGACACCAAACAGTGAGGTGTTAGTTCCTCCTGCAGTGATACAGCCTCATGTTTGTGTATCTGCACTCATTCTGCTCTGTTTACCTGAACTTTGCTCTTCTCTTGCTGTAATCTGTTCTGCTCAATCCACTCAAAAATGAGCTGAAAGTGCCAAGGACAACTTTATCCTTCATGTTTTTTTTTCTCCCTTCTGACACACATTTCTTTGAACACGCATGGATTGGACTAGGTGTAAAATCTCTGCTGCGCTCAGCTGAATTTGCATACTGATTTGGCTATGCAAATGAGCAGCTCAGGGTGATGTGGGCCAGTCATGTATTTGTAACGGTAAATACTCAGACTTAATGCGTAGGGAGGAAAATTTGTACTGCTACACACAGCGTCTGCTATCTCTCCTGACCTCCGCTTTACATCAGAACGATATGGTTTTTAAATGCCTGATGCCGATGTCTAGACAGCAGGGTGATGTGCCATTCAAACATTTCTTAAATAAACAATGTTCATCAAAATTAAAATTATTTAAAGAGTGGAATATGCAGTATTGATTGGCAAAGCAGGCGGTAGATTATTGAGCTGAAACTAGACGAGATGGTTTCTTCTGTTAATCAGACACAGTTATTGACGTGAATAATAGCAAAATGGACAAATTGGCTGATGTGTTGGTTGGTCATGGATTTTAGAGAGCTGTGTGCTCATTTTAAGTATGTATTTTCAGGTTTCTGTCCATTTCTCTGCTCCCACAGGCGTACAAGCTTGAGTTATGGCTGATTTATACTATATATTATTCTGTGTCAAGCGCATACATATGTTCCTGCCCAGCCTTTGCGCGGTCGCATAGCCCTCACTATGGCTGATGCGCACATCTAAAAAAAAATTAACTATGTCTCTATGATGTGCAGTGCAAGCTCTGTGATTGGTCCGCTTTGGTACCAGTGGCAAGAGTGGGCGGTGCTGAGAGCCACAAGCCCGTTGGAGCAAGTGTTTACAAGTGTGGAGTCTCAAAGTAGCGCCAGATGGAAACTTTAGTTTTGTGTTTACGTTATGATTGAAGTTGTTGCAGGTCCGCTGGTTCCTTCTCCGAGTGAGCAAGTTTTTGCTACTTGTAGCGTTTAGAAAAAACAAAATACCCTAAAGAAACTTGACACACAGGAACAAAAACCTACTGCCAGCCAGCGTTTTGCAAGTATTATTGCTGAGCAACACAAACAGCACGCAGAAGTGTAAATGTATAGCTACGCGAAATGCAGGTGCCATGGGTCACACCGATCACTGGACGCAGAACTATAAACCACCCTTTATTCTGCAGAGCAGCTGAGAAAGCATTAAGGTCCTTTTTGCGCCTGGTAGTAGGTGTTTTTTTTATACATGGACAATGTTAAATACAAGTGTAAATGGGAGCTGAAATAGTTTTAGCTTATTGACATTTAACTTAAATAGTTGAAGATGCATTGTTGAATTGTTTTTGTAGCATAAATACTCGCATGGTGGTCGATCACATTTAAACAGTTACATGAATATTTTAACATTTATGATTTTGATTAAAATCATAGTTATTATCCACATTCTTGTAATTCGCTTTCTTGTCCACTGATAAACTGTCTAATATGAGTTTGTTGTTGTGTCCAGAAGGCTACACAGATATGGGAATTTATTAAGCATTGCTGTCATTATTATAGAGTTTTCAGTGTGCAAAAGATTCTTTCTTTTTAACTCCACACTTCTGGATGAAAGAGATGACTTGTGGGTGTTTGGAGGTGAAATGTGGGAATGATCTCTCACTTGTCTCCTTGTAAGAGTTCTGGTGGCAGCTGTGCACAAACGCTCATATCTGGAATTGATTGTATGTGTTTGCAGCTGTTGTCATGGCAAAGGGAAACCAACACCCTGCGTCTCGCTCGTCGCCCTTTCTGTTCCCCACACAAGACAACTGCTCTCCCTCTCCTCACACCGTATGAGTGCGTGTCAGGCTGACGAGAGAAAGACAGGTTTGCAGCGTGCCTGTGTTCTTCAGAGGTGACCCTGCGGGTGTTTTTAGAGCTGTCTTTGATAAGTCCGTGGCAGCTGAGTCCAGTGCCAGTGTTCAGAAATGGACACCGGTATGAAAGGAACGAGTCAAGGTTAAAGATCTTGATTTCTAGTGGTCACGCTGGTTGTTTGGAAATTATTTTTGAAGTGGGATGTGCTTTCAGTATATCTCATAAACATTTACACACTTAAAACATTGGTGCTGGATAAGAATGCTTTTGAAAAAGTATATTATTCTCACCAAGCTTGTATTTATTTGATCTAAAATACAGTTACAATAATATTTTATATTACTAATAGTAATAATAGTAATTTGTATAGCAATACAAACTTATTTACTGTCACTTTTGATTATTATTTTTTTATTACTTCATGACTGTATAACTATCCTAGTTGTATAGCTGTTTTTGTTATGTTTATTGTTGCCTAGAATAAAAGATACAAAAAAAATTGTGTCCCAATTGTCCATATATAAGCTTCATGCTGTACAGGTACCAATGTCCGTCTTCATCAATGCTGAAGTAGTAATTTCTTTATTACATTCGTTACTCTTTAGTAATTTAGGTGCAGAATTCACGCTTGAGGTCATTCCGGGTGCGAACAGGAAGTGATTCTTATAGGCTGAGACCCATGGGAGCCCCTTACAGCATCTGGTTTAATTAGCTAGCTAGATCCATTAGCTCAGGTACTCTGCTCGAGCCAGGGTTCAGGAGAATGAGTGTGCAGATAATTTTATTCTCTCTATCTTTGTTTCTCCCCTCTTTTTTTCTATGTCCTGCTGGGCGGTGATAAATTGGATAGCAGGAAGAGGTTGACAGGGTTAGCACAGGGAACAGAGGAGTCTT